CAATGCAGAATTCTTTCCCTTTCCTTAGAAAAATTTTCAACAGATTAAAATAATTCAAAAATGCCTTGAAAAAATGTTCAATAGATAATTGAAATGTCTACAAATAAAGGCTTTTCTTCCTTTCAATTTGTAATGTTGACATCTTACGAGTCTTAACTTAAAGATGCATTTGGTAAGTTTTTTACTGAAAAACATTTTTGAAATAGCCTTTTTAATTTGCCCTTTACGATTAAAACATTGTTTGATGAGCAGACTGACACCTCAGTAGTTCAGTGCAGATTCATATTTTCCTGATTTTCCTTCGGGTTGGCAGTTCCTGCACTGTTCAACCTCATAATCAATGGAAACGTTATATTCAGGACAGATTTTGTGGATACTCTGGAGCAACCGTCATTCAGCTAAACTCAGACAATAACGCAACATGTGAAAAAACACACAAAAAAAAACCTTGTCAAGTAGAAGTGTGAGCTACGAGAACGAGCAGAACAGTGCTGCAGTTCTGTATTTTGACCCCAGGTCAAAATAATGGCCACATAATGACTCTTTAAGATGCAACCTTTAATATATTATATATTATGCTTACTACAGTAATTCTAATCTCAATTTTATTTTACTATAAATTAATTTTACCTGCTTTAAGTATGTGATGTCTATTCTAGAAATAAAATGTCAGCATTTTGATTAAGATATTTTACTCTGTGCTATAGTTTGATATATGTATAATGTATATAACATTAGTGAGCAAGGCAACTTTATTTATAAAATATATTTCAGCGACAAAACACATAGAAGTAAAAGGAAATAAAATGTTATACTTAAAATTAAGTTAATGACATGTGTGTGTATATATCTATATAGATATAGATATATCTATATATCTATATCTATATAGCCCGCTGTCAGATAGCGACTAATAACAAAGATGGCGCAGGCACCATATGGTGGAGGGAGGGAGTTACGTAACCAATGGGGGCCAAAAAGTACTGATAATCTTTCCAAACGGTCAGTTAACTGGGTTCACTATAAAGTCCACTATATAGTCCCCGCTCTATATAGTGATTGAGGGATTAAGGGTTTAGGGAGGATGTTTGGACACAGTAAGCTTGTATGAGCTATGAGAACAGCTGCATATAGATTCAGCATCTCTCCTTTCTCTCTTCATATTATTTTGGGTTTTATGGTTATGGACTCTTAAAAGGCTTCAAACTGGATATTTGAAGACATTTACCATTATAAAAATTGAAAGAAGAAGTAAAAGCACTATGCAGCTAAATTAACCTTTTAAAAAAATCACTAAAATCCAATCTCCCTTTTACGTTTCTCTTTTTTATCGCCCAACCACATTCACACTCACACAGCAGCCTGATTTCTGTCACCAATCAAGCTCAATTTTCCAACCAAATTAATTCTTTCTAATTTGGAGCTTCCTGCGGTCAACCCCCTGTGGCGCTGCCACTGAGCTGTGTCTGTGTGGGTTCCTGTGCACATATGCTTTAGTGTCTTCGTGTGAAGGAGAGACTGTTCAACAATAGATCTTAATTGAGAAAATGGACTGCAATCAGCATATTCTTGTAGGGAATCATTAAATCATTCCTTCCTCCCCAGTCCTTTTTTTTCTTTCTTCTTTTTCTTGTGGTGATTAGCATGATGATGATACCATCTTGATTATGTCCATCACAATAAAAAAAAAAAAACTCACATCTGTGGTCTCTTAAGCTGTTTAAGAGGAAATAATTCAACTCAAAGAAAAACAAAAGATAGAATAAAAACGTAATAATCTTGCTCTAAAGTGTAAGAGCTAAAACAGAAAAAGAAAATACTTTTTTTTACATCATGATTGCTGTTTATCCACTGAAAAACATGCAGTTTTGATGGATTTGTGATCAAATGGAGAATGTTGGTTCACAGTTAAACATCCTGACTTTCTAGCTTAAAAAAAAAGAAGAAAATTTTTGATTATACTTCTAAATAGAACACCCCTTTTTCTTTTTATTTGATTTTCACATCAAGTATTTTGTCAACTGACTTTATTGTACAGTTATGCCATTCTGCTGTTGTATAACTGTTTATCTTTTCTTTTCTTGTGATGGGAAGCATTTCTTTAAAGAAAAAAATTATAATCTATTCTATTTTTATTTCCATGTTTTGCTTTTTATTTTATTCTAACTTCTATAAAACCCCTTTTGTGCTATTTATATTCTATTGTATTCTATTTTATGTTGCATTTATGTTAAATTAGCTGAAATAATGTCGTTAAACTTCAACTCTATTATCCTTATTCGATTCTCATCACTAAGGGTAAACACTGCCTTTGGATTACTCATATTGAGATTCTAATATAAAAAGAAAAAATTTATTTTTATTGTGCCTTTTATTTAATCTCAAGTTTCACTAAATAACTTGCCAGCTTTTTTCCCTTTAGAAAGCAACTCCAGAAGAAAGCATACCGTAAGCATTTGTACAACTCTTAGTAAAAACAGTTAGATGCCTCAGGGCCCCAAACATCTTCAGTGAGTTAATTATAGACTTAATGTATTTTTCTTTTTATTCTTCTTCATTTGGAAGTTGGGACCTGCATGTCTCGGTAGCTGCTATCAGCTTTTTTGACACAAAGGGTCTCTGCAGGAGCAACCTTGACTCCTGGGACTTTGAATCTACTGGGTGCACAACACGTTCCCACTGCTGCTTCTCTTTGAGCATTATGAAAAAGATAAATAAGAAAATGAAAGCATTATTGAAGGTCTGCAGGGAAAAGATTTCACAAAGAAGCAGGGATGTTAATGGAGCCTTCATTTTATTTAATGAGCCAACAGAGATATTTTGATTCTTTCACCTAGACTTGTTCTTGATTAACTTGTATTAAAAATATTTGAATTTCTGTTTCTGGGTTAAAACTATTGGCTGTTGGTGAATAGAATGAGTGTTTATCTCCTGACCTCTAAAGGTGTTATATTCCTGTTTCTGATTATATACCATAGAGCAAATACAGCTTTAGTAAGTTTTGGAACTGAATTAATTTTGATGTTTTTAATATAAAGATTCTTTAATATCCAGGTGACGATGCAAATCTCTTAGATAAGAAAAAATGTTAACTTTCTCAATTTCTAAACTTGTAACTTTAAAAAGTATTCCCCTATTCCACATGTTTTTTACTTTGATAAATAAGATCTGATTAATTAGATGTTTATTTTGTTTTTGGTTTCTTGTCACATAATTATAGTTTTATACCAAGATTATTTTGACATTGATACCTTTAAAGAAAAAAAGTGTGATTTCTATATAAGCTGTTACTGCTGTTTGAATTTAGGCTGGTGCAGAATAGCACTTTTTATGTTTGGTTGTTTAAAATATGTTTTATAAAATAAAGCCCTGAGTTATATATATATATATATATATATATATCGCTAATGGTTTTTTTTATATTGGATTTTTCTTTCTTTATATTTCCAACCATAAGATGTTGGAGCAGAGCATGGTCTAGCTGTGGAGAAGGCGTCAATTCATTTCTGTTATTTAACCATTTTCATCACTCAATGTGTTTTTCATCTAATCAGTTGGAGACTTCAAGTCAAGCCCAAGGTTATCCAAAGACTGCAGGATCCTCTCGGTCTCCATTAAGTCTACTTTTTCTACGATGACATCCCTTTTGTTAACTTCCCATGTACTGAAACACATACACAAAACATTATCACGTTTAACTATATAGGTGCCGTTATTTAGATTAAATATGTCTCCCTTTCACACCAAATGAAAGATCCATCAAGAAGCCAAAATGTTAAATCTTTTTCTTTAAAATGCAGAACTAGAATACTTATTTGCCCTGATGAGGTTTGATCAAACATGAAGCAGTCTTTGGTGAGCTTGATTTGGGGAAGTGGTCTGGATCCATGCAGTCCAGCAGTAATGCATGTCTGACTAAACCTTTTTCCAACAGCATGGCCACAGTTAGTCACAGCTTGCCACTATCAAGCTGCAGAGAAATGCTGTCTTCCACCTGTTGAGTTGATGAAATCAGCTATTTTCAGTTAATTAGGGTAAATGGGATGCTTTGGAAAATATGGGATATTTCCATTAATAAAGATGTTGTACATGCACTGTTAAATAAAATGAAAGCAGAAATTCCTTTAAATGCTGTTATTTATGGCACAGTCCTACTCAATTCTAGTCAGAATATGAGTCTGATACTGCTCCATAGAGCTGTGATTATGGGGCGTGTTTTGAACGAACCAGGAAAAAAAATGCCTCTGCACTCAATTTGATAGACCTACAACCAATAAGAGCAACGGAGTGCGTGACGTATGTTAAGCGAGGCATAGTTGTTGTCAACAAAAATCAAAGCGTGCAGTTGCACTCCTAGAATAAGAAGATGAGCCTTGATCGCGTTTCTCTGTTCCTCTTTTAAAATTAATTTGCTGTCGATATCTTCTAGAACAGACCTAATAGCAGAATCTACACACCTCAACTCTCCAGCGGCAGCCATTGTTGTTGTCACCCAAGCGCGCTTTGGTGACGTGGTTGATTACGTTACTGTTGATCTTCTGTCCATCATCGTATAAAGCATGCCCTGACAATTTGATTGGCCCGCCAGATATTGTGCGAGCATACTCGCGCTACTATTGAGCAATGCCAGACCGAACTTCCCGACCTGAAACGTTGTGGGCGGGACTAAGTTCGGAATGGAACCCAGGCTACAGCTGTGTGAGGGTAAATTCTGAACATGACTTTGAATCGAAGTCTAAATTATTTTACATTTAGGATTTTATGTTATGTGAAACACCATCCTTTTGATTGCTGTATATACTTCATCTATTTAAATAACTAACATTTTTAGTGCTACTTTGATGCCAAAATTCCCAAATGAGTTTGACCTATGACTTACTTTGATCTATGAAGGCAACATTCAGAAAAGTATTTTAGCGACTTTTGAATTCCTGTTGGTATTAATTACTTTCTCATTCGTCTGCCCTTACCTCTGTGTCCTTCTCCATGTTCCCCATTAGGAGATGGCGAAGATTTTGAATCATCCGCGTGTTTATGCCTTCCTCCATGTTCCCGTGCAGTCAGCCTCAGACAGTGTCCTGATGGACATGAAGAGAGAATACTGCATTGATGACTTCAGAAGAGTTGTTGACTTCCTCAAAGACAGGTAAGATTTGGTATAGACAACCAATCTTTACTTTAGCTTTCAATATGTTAACCTTTAATTCATTGACCAAATTTTCTGAGCTTTACTTTTTTTATTTTTTGAGTTTTTAGGGCAATAGTGGCTCGTTTTCTCGACAGTAGGCTGACAGGAAAGGGGGTATGAGAGAGGGGTAGAGACATGCGGCAAAGGACCACAGGATTTGGCCGGATTTGAATTCCCGGTCGCCTGCGTTGAGGACTAAGGCGTCCGTACATGGGTCATGCGCGCTAACCACTGCGCCACCTGTATGTCCTTCTGAGCTTTACTTTAGATTATTTGAATTGATGTAGAAAATCTAAGGAGTGACTGCTGGATTGTTGAACCCCAATTCATGTAAAAAAACATGAACAACAATCATTGTTGAAAAGACTCACCAAAAGACACACCCTTACAGTAAGATTTAGGATAAAATCACAAATATAAGCACATATATTTACAGGAGCCCTGTCACAGTGCGCCTATCTTAGCCTAAAATCCTTAGTGCTTCATTTGCTAACAATAACTATGAGCGAACAGTTGACATGAATACCTGTATCATTGAGAATATGGTTGACACCATTGCTAGCTGTAATGCTGTCTTCTATTAGCCTGGCTGGCCAGACTGACTACAGCTGTATATACAGCATATCGATATGGAAAGGAGCGGTTAGGACAGAGGACCAGTGCCTCTGACTGAACATTTCTGGGAGGACAATCAGGAGTGTCCTGCATCAACAAAACAGCTTTCTCTGTTTGTTTTGTCCTTTTCTCTGCTTTAGACAAACATCAAAGGCTTAAAGCAATAAAATTTACCTATGAAAATGAGTAGTTGGAGAGTCTCTACTTAGAGCAATGCTCATTCCAGGAAACATCTACCTTAACTGCGCTTTGCTGACAATCTAAACAAACATCCTCTTTCTTCCTTCAGGGTGTGGTGGTGTGAGGAAGAAAGCAATGTTGCTGGCTTAAAGTTAAGATTAAGTGGCTCTTTTAGCAGCTAATCTGCACAGAGCCGCAGCTTTTCTTTTTAAGCTAATGTCTAAATCCTGGAAACCTGTTTTTTTGGCCTCTGGTCTCAGACTTTTTTTTTCAGTTTTCTGAAATGCTTTAAAATTGTTCTAAAATGAGGGTCGCTCAGATGGGAGAGCTGCGACTTTGCTTTGAAGGCAAGTGGTCTTTTTGGGGATTAGGAGAAAACAAGTTTGTTTTAATACAAATTAATACCAATATAGTTTTAAATGCATTATTTTGTCATATATTTGCATATGGGTGACTCTGAAAGGCTCAAAAAAACATGATATAAAACCTTTAAGGCTCACTTTAAGTTCTTGTCACTACCCCTAACATTTTTTTTTTTTACTTTTGGAGCTCTTCTACAGTTACTTTGTAAGTAGCGTTTATTTTATCAAGGTAAAATAAAATTTGGGAGATTTAAAGATAAAAACAAATTTTAATCTTCAGATTCTTTTTGAGAAAAAGCCCAGATTGTTTTCTTAAAGTGAAAATAGTACTAGTTAATGTAGCCATAGTGTCATTTTTCCTGGTATGTCAAGCTTTAGAGGATCTTTTTGTAAGTAATGCTACAGAAAAGCATGTCATTGGTTAATTCCAGATTAGGACATTATCTCTGTAGTTGAAGAGCAGCATACCTGTGTTAGATGTGTTCGCAATTGTGTAGTCATTCGTTTTTTTCCCCTTTATTTTTATATGAATTAAAAAGAAAAAAATGGCTAATTTGGATTTATGCTGCGTTCACACCGGGGGCAGCAAAAGCAGCAAAATCGCGTCTGCTGCTTCATTTTTGCTGCTTGTACCAGTTAGTTCTGACGCGCGTCTGAAGCAGCTTTGCTGCTCTGGCTGCGCGGTCCAAAAGTGTGTCTGACGCGCGTTGGGCGGAGCTTCACTATCCTTTCTCTGCCTTGCAGCTATATTTGCTGTGATCAGTGGGAATAAAGTAGTTTTAATATGTTTTTAAGTGAGAAAATACACCTGAAAACTTCATCAGTGGAGTCAGTTCATCCAGATTACAATCCCGCCTTCCAATATTATTTCTGTCGGAGCCGCTCAGACCCCCACATACCAGCTGTGCGCCGACAGAAGGAATCCATTCATCAGCAGCCTCTGGCCGGATCGCCTCCTCGCGGTTTACCGCGGTGGCTGGTAGGTGTTTTTCATCTAAATAATCCAAACTGCAGGCACCAGAATAATAAAAGCGAACATATTCTGCCGGCAGATGTATATATTTTAAGTTAATTATGCTTTAATAAACTGTTTAAGAGAAGTGATCAGAGCAGTCTGTGTCATCAGCGCTGTGTCTCTCTCCCAGCCAGCTCCCAGATCAGCTTCTCTGATTGGTTGACGCGGCGCGTCGAGCAGCAAAAATTCAATTTTTCCATCTCGAGCAGCAGCGCGTTTGCGGCGCGTCTCGCGCGTCAGATGCCAAAACGCGCCCGACGCGCTGCTTCAGCTGCTCAGACGCGCTGCGCTTGCTGCTCGAAACGCGCCGCAGGACCTTTTGCTGCGCCTTGACGCGCGTCAACCATTGACTTTGCATGTAAACTCGCTGCTTCTGTCGCGCCAGCTGCCCCCGGTGTGAACGCAGCATAAGCCTTCAATGATTATAATGACCAATAATTAACCAAATGTACCCATAAATGTGTATATTTCAATTGATTCTGAACCTTGGTTTGAATTAACCACTTGTAAATGTTAATATTTTTATTTATTAATCATAAACCAAGCATAAGAAATGTCTCTACATAATTAACCTTTTAACTAAGAAGCAGTAATTTAGTACTAACCTTCAAGAAAGCAGATCAATGTCAAAATTAACCACAAAAAAACAACAAATTATTCAAAATTAGCAAAACTGATGAATGTGGATAATAGAAGCTCATTAGTCAACAAAACAACTAATTAAGCTTTGCTAAGTCTCAGTTTTGAATAATGATCCATCAAACCAGCAGCAAATATGAAATAAAAAGCACTAAAGGGAATTTAGAATATGACAGAATTCTAACTCCATATCTGCAAGAAACCATCTTAGCTATGGCTGGACCACCCCTCTCTCCCAGAACCTAAAAAAAGCAGTTTGGTTTCTTAAGCAAATTTCTTCTAAAGCAACTATGAACATTAAAACCTAATTCTAACAAAGCCTGCTCAGGCACAGTTAAAAGTAGCAAAGAAAGGTTAATGTTTGGTTCTTGGCCTAAAGTGACAAGGCAGACTGCCCTCTGAGCTGGCTCTGTCTGCAGAGAGAGGGGAGCAAGCAGGTTGCAACCTGTGCAGGCAGTTACTTTTGGATCACTCGGCCAAGACGATCAGGTAAAGCAGTTCTGCCGCGTTAAAGAAGGAGGATTTCTTGGTTTCCAAAGATCCAGGGGCGTCCCTTTTGTGGACAAAACAGGCAGCAACATTTTGACAAATAAGCTTCTTCATGGAAGGAATGATGAGAAGCGTTACTGCTGAGATTTAGCACCAAAAAGTAAAATTTCTTTTACTGTAGCAGTTACTTTGTTAATTTAATTGTTCCTTGTAAATCTACAAGCAGCAACATAATATTTTATGTCTAATCAGGCAGTAACTTATCTACATACAGTGAGTCACACATTCTGTTAATACAGCCTTATGTTGGATGTTTTTAAGTAGCTGAAGTTCATGCACAGCAGCAACTAACAATAGAGTTTGTATAATTACCTCATCATGGCTAAAGTCCATTATGATTAAATATAAAACTTCAAGCTGGGGATTTTTTTTTATTCAGGTCACTGAGCTCACTTTCTAAACTGTCTAGTTTGTTAACTAGGTTTAGGTACAAAACGCCTCACAATTTTAGGCACAATGATGGAAATAAAGGTTAAATTTCTCTCAGCTGTTGAATGTTTTTTGTAACTATCTCTTAGTAACATATGGATTTGCCTTCTGTTTCCTGAGGTAACTCAGCCAAACTAAACGCAATAATTGCTACCTTCTGCCAGGCAGCATAATGTTGGGAGATCTAGAATTAAAAAGCATTATTCCATCATAAGCTCCTTGGTGTATCTTCCTAAGTTTTGATGAAAGAATAGATATTTCATTTCTCTTTTCATATCTACGGCTGACATTGTTTAGAGATGTTGGTGTTTGTCTGCAGGAAAATCTTCAGCTGGAGAAGTGTCTCTTTATCTGTATTTGTGGAAAGATTTAGTTAAAAGTCTAAGCATAGTGATGAATAGTGAATAACTGGTTTCTGTTTGTCATTTTAAAATAAATAAATAGTCACTCAAGACAAAACAAGAAAATTGGCAAAGAAACTTTAACTACTCGTGAGGCATCTTTTGACTCTTTTCCTGAATCAGTGAGTGTTTCCAAGATCAGTTGCATCACATGCATCCAAACAACAATGTTTGATATTGTCTTTGTAAAATTTAGTATATTTATCGCTGTGTGACTCATTTGGCTGTAGTTGCTTCATCAGGGGTGCAATTCATGTTCTGGAAGAGAAGCAAAAGGTTCATGCAAGCTAAGTACACACGCCCCTATTTGTGTGAGTCTGTATAAGTCAGAATTTAATCAGAGCATATTGTTATTGTTGGCAAGAAGTAATACTGTTCTGTGGAAAAAAACAAAATAAAACAAACTTAATTTCTTTAAATTTCTATTCACTGAGGTGGACTCTTGTGTGTTTGAAAATACTACTTTTTTTCATAATTAAAATATGTTAACCAATGGTTAATGTTATCATGTGTACTGATAAACCCCAAGGCGGGGAAGATATTTAACTTTAGGAAAAACCCACATATTTAGGATTTTATGACAGTTGATGATGATCCAAACTCTCAGCCCTTAGAGTTGACCCCTTAGAAATGTACATTCTTGGCCTTATTCATATTCTCTGTGTATAGAATTATTCATTAAATCTATCCGAAGATTACGTTTAGAGAAAGAAACTCTTTAATCTATTTTTCTTCAAGTAACACCGTCTTTGAATTTTGTGGTTATAA